GAAGGAATCAGTGTGCTTTGCTTTGATTTGATTTATGTATTAAATTTTTATGCCGTCCATCTCTCTTACAAGGTGATTCTGGCCTTAAAAATTTGGACTCTAGAAAGTAAACCTAGAGGTTGAGACCAACAGCGGGCTATTTCCGTACAAGTAGTCCTCAGCTTATGACCGTAATTCGGACCAGAATTAGTCCTTAACGGTTGTAAGAATCCATGTGGCCGGAAACAATTTTCTGATCATTTTTAAAGAAGTCATTAAGTGAACGCTGCAAATTTCTCCATGCAAAACATCTTCTCTGCCACTGAGCTATATAATTTATATAGAATAATAACAGAGTTGGAAGGGACCTTGGAGGTCTTCTAGTCCAACCCCCTGTCTAGAGGCAGGAAACCCTACACCACTTCAGACAAATGGTTATCCAACATCTTCTTAAAAACTTCCAGCGTTGGAGCATCCTACAACTTCTGAAGGCAAGTTGTTCCACTGATTCATTGTTCTATCTGTCAGGAAATTTCTCCTTAGTGTTCTAGTTTGCTTCTCTCCTTCATTAGTTTCCACCCATGGCTTTTTGTCCTGCCCTCAGGTGCTTTGGAGAATATAGCCGCCATATAATTTATGACGGACTTCTATTCTGTGGTTTGTTCCCAAAACCTCAAGTATCCAATTTGGGGCAAGAAAGGTGCCACTTCTTCAAGAATCAACTTCACCTCATAAAGACATAGCTGCCACAGAGAGGAGGAAGGGGCCAAGCTATTTTCTAAAGCACCCGAAGGCCAGACCAGGAATAATGGATGGAAACTGAACAAGGAGAGATTCAACCTGGAAATAAGGAGAAACTTTCTGACAGGGAGACCAATTAACCAATGGAACAGAAGTTGTCTTCGGAAGTTGTGGGAACGCCATCACTGGAGACTTTCAAGAAGAGATTGGACTGCCATTTGTCAGAAATGGTGTAGGGTCTCCTGCGTGGGCAGCGGGTTGGACTAGATGACCTACAAGGTCCCTTCCAACTCTGATTATCTGTGAACATGACATCTGTTAAGATTCACTTAACAACCGTGTTGCTAACTTAACAAATGCATCGATTCACTTAACAACTCTGGCAAGAAAAATCGTAAAATGGGGCGAAATTCACTTAAGGATTTTTTTTTCACTTAACAACATACATTCTGGGCTCAACTGTGGTCGTAAGTCGAGGACTACCTCTATTGGTTTGGGGCCTGAGCATTCAAAAGCATCTTCCAGATCAGCCTGGCATCCTTCCAGATGTGGCCAATGAGAGGCCTCCGAGAAGCTCACAGGCAGAGAAAATCCTGCCAGCCTTCTCTCTTGTGGCATGGTGGTCCATGCCCTCTTCAGATTAACAGAGTTAATCAAACATTAGAACCTGGGTGGACTTCAACTCCCAGAATCCCCTAGCCAGCATGTTTTAAGAGGGATGGACTAATTCCCAGAATCCTCCAGCCAGCATGCTTTAAGAGGAGATGACTTCAACTCCCAGAATCCCCTAGCCTGCATGCTTTAAGAGGAGTGGACTAACTCCCAGAATCCCCCAGCCAGCATGCTTTAAGAGATGACTTCAACTCCCAGAATCCCCCAACCAGCAAGAAATCCATTCCTCTTAAAGTATGCTGGCTCCAGAAGTCTGGGTGTGGAAGTCCTCCCCTCTTAAAGCATCCTGGCTGGGGGATTCTGGGAGTTGAAGTCCTCCCCTCTTAAAGCATCCTGGCTGGGGGATTCTGGGTGTGGAAGTCCTCCCCTCTTAAAGCATCCTGGCTGGGGGATTCTGGGAGTTGAAGTCCTCCCCTCTTAAAGCATCCTGGCTGGGGGGATTCTGGGAGTGGAAGAACTCTGTTCCAACTGCCAGTTGTCTCACATTCCATTACCTCAGTTCAAATTGGCAGACGTTCCCCTCCTTCACTCAGGAGCGGCCTGGGGCTCCTTACAGTACTAAACGTTGCTACCTCACCAAAATGTCTACACCTTCCACCTATGGAACCGCTTCTGAACTTAAGGCGGCGGGAGAAATATTAGCTCAAAAAAAAGACCAGAAGTGTTGTTTTTGGAGGGTTATTGATCCTCTCAACAACATTGTTGGAGTTAAAGTCCATACATCCTCAAGCAGCCAAGGTTGAGAAACATTGGTCTAAGAGTTCTACACCGTATATGAATTGCTGGTAGTCCTTTGACTTACGGCCACAATGGACCCCCCAAATTTCTGTCGCTAAGTGAGACGTGTGTTGAGTTTCGCCCCAATTTTTCTTGCCCCAGTTGTCAAACGAAACATTTGCAGTTGGTAAAGGAGTAACAGGGCGGTCAAGTGATTTTGGATGTGGTTGTTGACTTTGCTTGTCAGAAGGTCGCAAAAGGGGATCGCCTGACCCCGGGACACTGCAACCGTCATAAATATGAGTCAGTGGCCAAGCATTGGAAGATTCTTCTTGATTGGCACCTGAATGTTGATCACATGACCACAAGGAAGCCACAACAGTCCTGTGTTGCCTGTTACTGTGGTCCTCAGATACAGACAGAGTTGGAAGGGACCTTATAGGTCATCTAGTCCAACCCCCCACCCAAGCGGGAGACCCTACACCATTTCTGACAGATGGGAGTCCAATCTCTTCTTGAAAGTCTCAAGTGATGGCGCTCCCACAACTTCCAAGGGCAACTTCTGTTCTATGGGTTGATTGTTCTCTCTGTCAGAAGGTTTCTCCTTATTTCCAGGTTAAATCTCTCCTTGTTCAGTTTCCATCCATTAATCCTTGTCTGGCCTACAGGCGCTTTAGAAAACAGCTTGACCTTCCTCCTCTCTATGGCAGCCCCTCAATAGTTACAAGTCCCTTTTTTTCACTGCTGTTGTAACTTCAAATGGGCCCTCAATAAACTGTTGTAAGCCAAGAACCACCTGTATATGTGCATATTGAGAAAGTATGCATTTTTAACAGTAAAATGTAAACATCCAATTTTTTTTTTAATTTTTTTTTTTTGATACTTGTTTGTGTCTGGGAGGAGGAAGACAAAGCAGAGGATAAAAAGGAAATGTTTTTGGATAAATTCTCTCTTGGGGTTCTTTTTAAAGAGATTTCAAAATTCAAATAATTTAGAATGATTCTTCTTAGGAACACAGGAAGAGGCTTTATTATACCAGCTCAGACCCATAGTTCAGAATCTTTTACCAAACCTTACTACAGAGGTCTCCAAACTTGGCAACTTTAAGACTTGTGGACTTCAGCTCCCAGAATTCTGGGAGTTGAAGCCCACAACTCTTAAAGTTGCCATGTTTGGAGACCCCTGCCTTACTAGATGGGGTTGGGGGGGGGGGTATAGTCAGAATTTTACATTGTGGCGGGTCAACCCCAGCCCACCCAGCATTCCTTAATTAACTCCCACATCTGTGACAATGCAGCATTTAATTTCTGGGTATCTGGACACATTTCCAACCCAGTAGCCATCTATCATTTTTTATTATCTAAAAAATGGCTAAGGAGCCTTTGGGCCTTAGGCAGGAGTGGGATATGACAGGGTTAACTACCGGTTCGGGATTTACGAGCTTCCCTGCACGCTGTGAGCCACGCGCCTGTAAATCATCATCAGCATGCTGTGTGCAGAGACGCAGCCTTTGAAACAGCCCTGTTTTCCTGCTTTTTTAACTGCAGCTGTGGCTCATTCGGCAGCTGAAGTTGAAAAATCAGGAAATAAAGATTAGGTAAGAGCCCGGGTGGGCAGGTAGGCAAAAACATCAGCACACATAGAACCGGTTCTATGTCTGCTGCTCTTCAGAGCTACCGTTTCTACAGAGGTGGACAGAACCGGTAGAAACCCACCCCTGGCCTTAGGCCAGTGCCTGACTCAAAGTCAGTTTTCCATTTATTATCAGTTTTAATTAAAATATATTAGTAATTAAATATTTGGAGGGACAAAGGGATGATAGGCCCACGGGTATCTACTTGCTCAACACTGAGAACAAGGGCCTCTCCTAATGCTTGCTACCCCAATCTTTTAAAATGGAGAAGGCCTGCATTTGGCTCCCTTCCAAGCAGATTAGGTATCCCGCTACTTAAGGAACCGCCCCTGAATTTTCTTAATTTCAGAGGAAATGGATAAGTGTCTTTCCCTAACTGCTCTCCTCACCCATATGTTTTATAAACAGTTTTTTTTCCAATAAGGCAAGCTATTACAGGCCCTTCTTTAGAGTAGAGTAGAGTAGAGTAGAGTAGAGTAGAGTAGAGTGGAGTGGAGTGGGGAGTAGTGGAAAGTAGAGTGGAGAGTAGAGTAGAGAATAGACAGTAGAGTGTAGAGTAGAGTGTAGAGAGTAGTGTAGAGAGTAGAGTGTAGAGTAGAGAGTAGAGTGTAGAGAGTAGAGAATAGAGAGTAGAGAATAGAGAGTAGAGTGTATAGAGTAGTGTAGAGTGGACAGTAGAGTGTATAGAGAGTAGTGTAGAGAGTAGAGTGTATAGAGTAGACAGTAGTGTAGAGTAGAGAGTAGAGTGTAGAGAATAGAGAGTAGAGTGTATAGAGTAGAGTAGTGTAGAGAGTAGAGAATAGAGAGTAGAGTGTATAGAGTAGACAGTAGTGTAGAGTGCAGAGTG